ATAAAGTTCTATCTTATCTTATCTTATCTTATCTTATCTTATCTTATCTTATCTTATCTTATCTTATCTTATCTTATCTTATCTTATCTTATATAGCTTGCACAGTAAATTCTCCTTTCCATTTCTAAATATATTTTTAATCAGTGTATAAAGTACCACAAAGTCATACTTGAGTAAAAGTACAAGTATCTTATCATAAAATTACTTTGGTAAAAGTTCAAGTCTCCTCTAAGAGTATTACTTGAGTAAAAGTCTTAAAGTATCTGATTTATTTTGTACTTAAGTATCAAAAGTAAATTTCTGACAAAAATGTCTTTAAGTATTAAAAGTAAAAGTACTGAGTAAAAATTAGAGGTTAGACTTTCCAAATTTGTTTTTTAAAGGCGTGCAGCTGTGATGGGTTGTGTACAAGCTAATATGTGTCAGAATGGTATATATTTATACTTCTCATCCAAACACAATTAAATTCAAAGCACAGTTTTTTAACAGTAACGAGCTGGAATGAAACAGGAGTAATGACTTTCTACTTCTTACCTTTTTTAATGTAGGGAGTAGAAAGTACAGATAATTGTGTATAAATGTCAGGAGTAGAAGTAAAAAGTGGACTGAAAAAAAATTACTCAAGTAAAGTACAAATAGCCAAATTTTCTACTTAAGTATAGTAACAAAGTATTTGTACTTACTTTACAACTCTGTTTTGAATGTACATAAATACTCGCTAACAGAGCATGTGAGAAAATCTAGTCATCGTTGGTGAGCTTCAGAGACTTTTTTCTGCAGGATTGTTCACATTTTAAGAAAGGAAAAAGACTTCTGTCAGCTTGATTCATGCTGGATGATTATATTGGTCTCATTAGTGCCTCTAGTGTTTGGACATGGAACTGCACCCAGCATCATCACTCTTGGGCAAAGGACAGATGAGTGACAAGATAGGGGACTTCAGGGGGCCAATCAAATTTCAGCAGGGGCAAATGCCCCTGCGGCCCCGCCCCAGAACCACCCCTGGGCTGAGAGCTACTTCAGGGGTACAGAGCAACAAAAAGACTTGTTTGATGCAAACATAAATTTACACAGTTCACCTTTAATCATAGTATTACTTAAACATTAAGAATTAAATATTAAGAATAATATGTGTTTATACTGCATGTCTGCCTGATTACATAATAATCCTAAAAACTCCTCACAAAAACGATCAATAATTATGGTTGATATGAGAAACCGTTAATAAGTGATTACAACTCAGATTTCAGGGTTGTCAGTTTTAAAACATTCTGGAGTTCTCTGTGTGACTCTAGCATGACTGGTTTGTCTCTGTCTGTGTCTCTGTGATGGACTGGAGACATGTGTCCCCTGCTGAGACAGACTCCAGCTCCACCCTGACTCTGATTAGGAGCAAGGACAGGATGGATGTAGGGCTTTTTATAGCATGAAACTGATATTTAAACATAAAACAGTATTTGGTTTTTGCCAATCTGAATCAGTAACAATTGAAATTCAGTGTATTTTGTAAAAATATTTGACAATTTTGTAGAAATGAACATATTTGTAATATTC